TCCCCACACTGCCGGCCCATGTTCATCTTGGAGTCAATGATGACTCCAAGATCCTTTTCCGCCTCCGTGCTGACAAGAGGGGAGTTCCCTAACCTGTAGGTATGGTGCCGGTTGTTCCTCCCCAGGTGCATCACCTTGCACTTGTCCGTGTTGAAACCCATCCTATTCTTATCTGCTCACCCTTGTAACCTGTCCAGGTCCGACTGTAGCCTGCTTCTTCCTTCTAGTGTTCCTGGATTGCTGAATTCCTCCTGGATGTAAAAGATAATGGTCCTCAGTAAGGCTAATGCGACTAAGATGGCATGCCCTGCCATATAGATACTGGCCTGGTTGGAACCAGCTGATCCTGTCCTACTCACAATCCATATGGGGCAGATGTCTAAATGGGAGCTACGTAGATAAAAGGGGTCCTTACTCAGCACTGACAAGAACATCTCCTCTGAACAGCGACTTTGGAACCCAACATGCTGGTTCTGGTCTTCAGTGAATGGAGTGTCCCTGGAGGTGATGGACATTTTTCCATGTCATTTCAGGACCCTGCAGATCTCCACCATATATATTAATACCAAGGTCAGGACTAGATCTTTTGTTTCCTGTGCCTTTCCAATTCCAACTGAGGACTTCAAAAACTCAAGTCCAGATGCTGAAAAATGTACTGAGGTCTCAACTCCAACAAAAATAAATTTAGGCACTTTAATATACATTTGAGAATCTGGACCCATGTTTTGTGAAGACTCCTTCATATCGGAAGGTATGTTTCAGCTCTCTCAAGCTCCATGATTTGGCACTGCCTTCATGTATGAGCACCTATAGTGATCCTAGCACCTGGCCAGTCAGGCCATGGACAAATGTAACATTTCAAATGCTCCAAATGTCTCTAAAGTGCTCCAAGAAGGGAGGGCACAGACATATGCGCCTAATGCAGTACTTAAAAAACCCCAGGAACAATGTTCCTGTGGAAACGCTGACACTTCGGAGAGGTTTAAAAAAGGCGGTGGGAGGGGGAGAAGAGTACTGCCTCATTCAGGGTTAAAGTTTGAGCAGCTTTAACTTTATTTGTATAATTTCCTGCTCCTGCACACACAACTGTTAGAACATAATGGCTACTGTTCTAACAGTACTGTTGCACCCCCTCCCCTTCTGAAATTGATTCAAGTGTATGGTTGCTCATGCCCTTTGAAGCACTTCACTGTGAAGCATTCATGTTAAGGCTTGGGCCTTCCACTTGGACAAGATAGGGAACTGGTAGATCCTCCAGCATTCCACAGTACTACGTTTTTCAGTCCGTCTCAGGATCATTGATCCTAAGATTGGCAATGTTGAGGAGTTTGCTAATGTTGAGATGATTGTCATAAATCCACTTCAAATATACACATAGCTCTGTGAGAAGATAAGGCTCTCCATCGTCTTTTTGCTGACCAATCCTGAGGTCCATTATATACTCAAAGAAACACTACCAGAAACTGGCATTTTTGGGTTTGTTCTTTTACAGACTCAGAAATGATGATCAGAAGTAACCCTCCAACTTCAGCACATGCAGCTTAAATCAAGCATCCTTGGATTTTCAGATCCTGGGAAAAAACAACCTAGATACAGAGCATCAACCTAGAATGTGACTACCTGCTAAGCAAAAGATAAACTAGTTATGTCCTCCCTTAGCACTGAGACCAAGCAAGCCTTAAAACATGGGGAATAGGTAACCCAAGTATACATGTATCTGAAGTACCATCATCCTGGTACCAAGGGCCTGCTAACATTATATATAGTAAGTTTAACTTGCTTTCCCTTCACCAATACAATAACAATAGGTGCTACATAAAACACAAACAGTACAATATTTTTTGTTTATTTTTAGCTACCACATGGATCATACTTTACACATAGCACCTGCTTTGATACTTGTATCAAGTTCCAAAAATCGCAAGTTTGGAAAGGGTCCCAGAAAGTAATATTGCAAAATTTTTAACCAATTTACAAGCCAGCTATCACACTATTTTACTGCTTTATTACCTAGATACACAATGCAGGCTGGATTTGGAAACTGGTGTCATGACAAAGGTAAAAATGCATGTTTATATAAAGTAGCCAATGTTCTTTTTCTTCTTTTTAATTTTAATTTTTATTTTTGGAATGAGGTTGTATCACTAGTCAGGGCAGCAGGCAGGCTCAACTGACTCCAGCTATCAAGTGTGCGTGGCTGCTAGTGGCTTAAATACTCCCAGCAGGCCCCAGTCACATGCATGGACATGGCTTCCTGCTCTTTCAGAAGCTCTTTCAATTCCCAGAAAGCTACTCAGGACAGATACATATTTAGCCCTGAGATTCTGACTCCTGGTTCTTACCTTTGATCCTCATGTCCTAGTTCCTGTCTGTTTCTACAGTCCTATGTCCTACTTGTTTATTCCTGATTTCCTGTTCCCTGAGCCCTGGTTCTTGGCTTCTTCCTAGCTTTATCCATGTCCTGATTCCTGCCTTGCTGGCTCCTTCCTCCAGACCCCTGTGATTCCAGACGGCCTTGCTGGCTCCTTGACCTCTGAATTCCAGACTCCTGTTCAGACATCCAGCTCCTAGCCCCTGGCTTAGTGTTGCTTGGTGACCACCTATCTCCCAGTCCCAAACAGCTCCTGCCTCCTGTTCTGAACCCCACAGTCAGCTTTTGGATTTATTCAGGTGATGACCTACCTCTTGATCCACTGACTATTTTGGAACAGTGCTTCCCTGACCTTGTCTGTCCCTGTTCCTCTAGGCTGTGACCTCTTAGGGTTAAAAACCAACTGTTTATGTCCCAGTCATACCCCTGACAGGCTGTTTGAAAAATTTGCTAAAGTCTAGGGGGAAGTAGTAAGTCAGATACTCGTTAGATGCCATCTCACTGCTAGAGATAGTAAAAAGAAATTGAGGAAGGGTTGCACCCAGTTTTGCCCTCATACAAGTGACCAAGGCAGTAGGATCCACACTTTTGGCCTCTTCAGTGCACCAAGGTCAGGTTTCCACTGGGTTAAGGCAACAGGAGGAAAAAAAGTCCCTGCCCTGAGGGATGTAACATACAAACACACACAAAACAAACCTTCCTGAAGACTAGGATGTATCACTTGCTTGTGCCTCAACGACTTTAGATCTTCCATGAGTTCTTTTTCAAGATGGCATATTCGTGCTTCGCAAGCTGCTCAGGGATTACATTATGACAAACAAGATGTTATTGCATGTACATGAAATAGGACTTACCATCTCATGTACATACTACATTGCTTATTTAAATTAGCAATGGCCAAGCGCCCAAAAGTACAAAGCATAAGACAGTGTCTCTCTACTAATCAGCCACTGCTGTCACCCAGTACCATCAAATCGTATCACCAGTGATATGCAACAATAATGAATTTGACAGCAGCTCCTGTAGGCCAAACCTGTGGAGCCAGCACTAACCCTGACTCCAGCCCCTTCCCCAACTCCCATTACCAGCACCCACTTTAACTCTGCACCCAAGGCTCACATACTAAACACCCTGGCTGCTAGTGCCACATGTGGTCATCACCAATTTATAGAATCCTCTCTCTATGTCCTTATACATTCCCCTTAGTATAAAACAAACAACCTTCTCAATTTTCAGGTGCGAGAGGTACCTGGATCACTTGAAGCTAGCATGGGGGTCCGTACGTTCTGTGACTCTTCTCCTCCAGCTCTATCAACAGTGTGAATATCAAGTGCTTCCTACATGCAAAGAGAACTTCAAATAAATTTAAAGTGTCTTAAGTTAAAAACACTAATCGAGAAACAGACTGGAACTTTATGACACTGAAGACTGAGTACTAGAGACACTTTGCGACGCCGGCACCGCAATTTTAAAAACAAAAAAACCCCCTGGCCTTGGTTCAGGGATGCCAAAAAGATGCATTTTCAGCTTGTGACCATTTATAAGCTATGGGAGCAATTACCCCATCCTTTTCACATTAATTTTTATGAAGGAGATGGAAGGAAGAGTAGTTTACCTTTGATGCAAAGGACACAAAGAGGACTCCATCCACATCCTCAAGATCCGGCTTAACATCTGGAAGGATATTTCCTGGTCCAAGAGAAGCATTCTTGCTTGTCACTGCGGTCTTTCCCAGGTTTTTAGGGGGTCGTCCAGCCTTGGAGATCTTCAGTTTCCGCGGCCTTCCTCTTCTACTTGGGCCTGATGACACAGAGTTTTGATTAGTACCAGTGCTCTTCTGGGACATGGAATTCTTTAATACTCTTGTTTTTTTTCTTCCAGTGACATGTTTAGCTGAAAAAGAGCTACCTGCAGAGCCCCTGGGATTGAGATTAGAGGATTTAGATATGGTCCATTGTCTCTCTTTGACTGAATAGCATTTCTGTAGCACTTTGTTTCCAGGAGACATTTTTCTCACAGCTACTTTCTCAGTTTCCATGGCCATGCCTAAGCAAGAACCCTTGTGATTTTCAAAATAGGCAGGCAAGGAATCTAGTATTGCACTCAAAGAGGATTTATCTTTCTTACATGAGAGCATGGTCTCTGGCAGCTCAGAGATTTTCACTGTACTCTTAGCGACTGAACAGGGCTCCAAATAAACTACTGGCATCTTCCCACTATCCAATTTTAACATTTTGGCTTTAGCAACACCTGAAGGGCTGGTTAGTATCCGTTTCCTGGACCTGACGTCTGCTTCTTTTCCATCGAGCTCGCTGTGTTTCCTTAGTTGTTTCTCTAGTATGGGATCATCATCACTGTTGGAATACTCATCAGTTTCCTCATCTGTATCTTCCTGTTTCACAGTTACTCCTTCTATGCATGCACTTGACCCATAAGCATAGTCATCCACTGGCTCCTCTTTAACAACTACATTGAAATGTCCATTTGGGTCCAACGGAGATGCCACTCGGGAGCTGCTTTCATAACTGCTAGCGATGGGACTGGAAAAAAGGAGTAAACAAGGAATTTGAAATACACAAACATAAGACACAAAATTCAGAAGTTATCCTCTTCCAGGTGTATTTTCGTTCCCTAAAAGGAATCATTCAGTACTACAAGGTTATTGCTGTTGGGTCCTACTTTAAACAGTACAATTTTTTTTCTTTTTTATGATATCACCACCTCCCATAATCTTCAATATCTTTTGTACTTCAGAACAGTACTGAGCTTGGTTGAGTTTGCTAGTGACCTCCAAGTAAAGGCTGGTGCTTAGGAAAAGATTTCATTTACATGTTTATACTTTTTGAACAATAGCAAGCATTCAAGGAATATTATTAGTATGTCACCTTGTTTAAGGTTTTTCATCACCAAGAAAGCAATAACTGTTCCCTTCCCTCCTATTGTTAAAATCACATCTAAACATTTCCACATGGGACGTTAAGCAACAATTAAAACTCTGAAGTCAATGCACTGTAACTTACATGCATTTAACGTCAGTGTTAGGGCTGTGCAAAGCTTTGGTAGCCAATTCGATTTGGAGGAGATTCAGCCCAATTCGGCAGCCGAATCTCTGAATCCTAATCAAATTGGGAAACCAATTAAAAGGTCCAAATTGATTTGGAAAAGATTCGGCACCACTCTGGAAATCTGGCCATAGACTAAACAGGCAGCAGTCCTCACCACACTGGACAGAGCTACCTCCAGCTGTTAAGTCCGTTGTGGTGAGTGGAGGGGGGAGGGAAGGGGCATGGGGGGCAGATCAATGGCCCCTCAGCAAGGGAGGGATTAGGGT